TCGCACTCAGCACGAGCCACCCAAGAATGGTTACAAAATGAGGTTCCTCGCTTCATTTCCAGCGCACAATGGCCACCAAAATCTCCGGGATACCAATCCGCTGGACTATTGTGTCTGGAGTATTTCGGAAAGCAAGGTTGGCATTAAATAATACCAAAATGTCGATTACCTCAAGCAAGCGCTTCGCCGGGAATGGGTCAAGATACCGCAGAGCAACATTCGGGCAGCGTGTGATGATTTCATTGTCCGTTTGAAGGTCATAATTCGTGTCAATTCGAACAAATCTAAACTTATTCTAAAATTTGATGCTATTTCCGACAGTTAAAAAAAAATATGTAAAAATTATGGCGTTTGGCTTTGTTGCAGTTTTTTTATCTCACCCTGATTTAGACTCTTGATGTCTTGTTGTGGAGTAGAATTTTATGACAAATACTTTTTTAGAATATTTTGACTTGCTACGATCCCATTTAAAGGAAGTTTTTAACCATATTTCATAAAAATGAAGTAAAATTTTGAAGTAAAATATTCCTCGTATTTTTTTTTTTTTCCAGTCCGACACTACTTCAATCCTTCCAAACTTTTTATATCATGAAAATTTGTAACAAGTTTTTGCCTGGTAAGGAAATATCATTATGTTACCACCCCACGACTTCAAAATGTCGAAATTTTTTTCAGATCTCCAGCTAGAAATTGTTATCGTCTGTTAGGATTCATATTGTATTATTTTCTGCTAATTTTCGTCACTATCAATATTTAGGTGTTACCAATTTTTTTTTGGAATAAGTCATTAATTTTTAGATTACTGGTAATAATGATGGTATACAGTTGTCATTACTAGTAGTGTAAAAAAAAGGACACATGTGATGAACACATAGGAGTACCAAGTTTGGAAATTGTGGTTAAAACATTGGAAATACCAAACAAAATTGTGAAATTTCATATATAAAACTTCTGGAACAACCCTCGTTTAGCTTAACTGTAATAGTTCAGCCTTGAACGATTATCAAGTCGAACATTTACACGTGCTATTGATTAATAATCTCTAAGCGATAAGAATTAATGCTAAGTTGTTCCATACGGTCATCCATCCAACCAAACCATGCCGGTTATATTTTAATCAGAGATCCATGCTAACCTTGCTTCTTGCCATTATAGTGGGTAAGGGAGGGGAGAGAGCCATGTTAATCTCTACGACGTCATACAGCTATGTATGATATTTTTTCATATTTATTTTTATATATTTTTTATAATCACGACAGACTTATGCTAATCACAAATTAGATAGTATTAGATTTATTTATTTATATTACATTAATAATATATTTAATTAACATATATAAAAATTAAATAATCTCTTTGGAAAACCAACAACAACAAGAGGGAAGTAAAATGTTGAAAGCTTACAGCATACGTAAATAAGTACGCCTGGTGATAAGGTGGTTGGAACTGGAATTACAAAACATGTGATACGGTTGAGTCAATGAACTCTACTCAAAACTAAGATATATTAAATTAATAAAGAAGATAAAAAATAAATTTGACAAAAAAAATAAAATAAATAAAAACCAGTAAAGAAAGGTCAAAAGATGGGCGGGCCGACCATATGATACCCTACACGACCATGCGTATTTAGTGGAGCCACAAAAAACGTTTTTATTATGGATTTCTGTGAAGTAAATCATACCAACTATGAACCTTATTAGGAAGGCGTATTATGGCTTCAGAGCAGCTAAAATTCGGAATCAGAAGAAGGGAATATATGGGAGGTATATCCAACTCTGAAACGTTTTCCACCAAATTTATTGGTGGCTCTTGTACCTCTCGTTCCAAAATAACATTGCAATAGATTGAATGATATGCTTTGGAGAAGGTTTTTTTTTCAACAATATTTTAAAGAAGTAAAAACGGAATAATGTTCGGCCGGGTCGAAAACCTTCCACCATTTGGAAAGTAGCTCATGTAAAAATTGTATATTAATATCTCAAAAAGTATCAATATATGGGATTAATAGGATAACATGAATCTATATGGACCATGTTCTACCACAGTAGAACATAGAACTCATTTTTAACTATGACAACCGAATTTGAAACTTCATTGGAAACTAAGGCTAAAATGATGAAAATTTCAAATCTGAAAAGGTACCGTTATATGAGTGCTATAGGAAAATGTGGATCTATATAAGCAATTTTCAGTCCAAGGAAATAAAATACATTATGAACAGCAAATACCGAAGTTTAAGCTATTCTGCTAGAAACTGAGGCTATAATAATCAAAATTTCGAATTTCGGGATGTACATTTAAACGGCTTTTCGAAACCAAGCATCTGCCAGAGTAGATAAAACTCATTACGAACCCCAAATACAGAAGTTAAAGCTATTCCGCTAGACACCGATGGGGAGGTAATGTTATCTGGTGGCTTTATGAAAACGTGGATCTGTATAGACAATGTTCTGCCATAGGGGAGAGAATCCATTATGAACTTCAAATACCGAATTTTGAGCTTTTCCGCTAGAAACTGTGGCTAAAATTATATGGGAGCCAGACGAAAACCTTGACAGATATTGCTCATCTTCGAAGTTGACCTGCCTGCAAAGAAAACTCTATGAAAAATATAAGGTTCAAAAAATAGAATACATACACTTTGTTGGTTCTAATACGAATACTTCGAACGGAAAGACAAACTTAATATACCTTTATTATTGTGTATATTGAAGGGTATAAAAATATATATCGGAGATATAGCGGAACCGAGCTTCGCCAAATGGAAAAATTCGGTCGTATGTTCCAAAATACACACCATATTGGCTGATATTCACGATTTTTTGTACAAAAAGCATGAAATCGGATAAAAATATATATGGGAGGTATATCCAAATTTGAACAGATCTGAATAAAAATAAATCGCAGAGGTATTTCAGTGTTGTATGAGATATCTGGAAACTTCCTTCTAGCCTGAATTCGATCGGATTTGCCGAAATCCACCCCTTTTGAACGAATATTACACATATGGCGCCCAATAAAATTGAAATCGGATGAAGATATGCATGGGAGCTCTATCTAAATTTGCAACAATTCTCACCAATTCCGATAGAGTTCGTCCTTGGGCCAAACAAATGACTTGTGTAAAATTTCATTTCAATCGGACAATAAATGCGACCTGTACTTTTGATTACAATAATGCATGGATGGATGAAGATGCATACAACGACTCAGAATGTGATTTTATGAAGGTCATTAAATGGAACTATAGGTTTTTTGCGTTTCCGAAAACTACTAAACACAATAACCAGTGTAACGTAGGGTATAAAATCCGCATCGTTCAATATTTGAAAAATCTCAAATACCTATCTACGAAAAAAATTATATTTAGAAGAAGAAAAGTAGTTTTATTCTCCTTCTTCCAAAAAAGCAGAACTTTTATTCAAATTAACAACGAATTGAATTAAAGTTTGTTGACATTTTTTATTTTATTAATGCTGAAGGACACTTTTGGGCTTGGTGTCGTTGTTTTTTTTTTTTTTTCTATTTTTAATTTTTTTTTCAACTCTTCTTGTCATTTGTTGATTTATTTTTTTTACCTCATGTTTGCTTGTTTTTTAACACAGCAGCAACAACAAAGACCGCTTAATTTGGCGTTGTCCAATATTGGGCTGCTTGGAAGGGGGACTACAACGACTTTATTCGGTTTTGTGTTAAACTCTTGTGCCATTTTGTATAAACGTCGAACGTGTATGGTTTATTAAATAATCCACGGCAACAGAGACAAACATTCGATACGACAATGTATGGCCAATTGTTGTCAAAACTTCAGTTTTTTTGGGTTAAGAGGGACCACCTCTCTGGGCCAAAAGTGGCTATATAACAGAAAAGTTGTTGGGTATAATATGTTGACGAAGAAAAAAAGAAGAAGAAGTAGAGGAGAACGAGGAGAAATAAAAGCTTTTGTGTGTGAAGAATTTTAAGTGGCCATTGTTTGGAGGAGGAAATATGGGGTTATACAGCAGCTTCCCCTCGTGGGGAAAATTTGGAAAAAAAATTGGAAAATTAAGAAAAAATAAAGAAAATTTTATTTTGAAACAAACTATGAACCCTCTCCCTAGAAACCGAAAGGGTCTGAAGGTCTTCTGACATAAAGCCATGGAAGAACACAGGCTCTTCTCCTTGAAAGCCAAATGTTTTTCTTCTACAAAACCAAAGGAGATTCTTCTAGAGGGCCGTAGGTCCTTCTCCTAAGAGAGTACATAATTTTCTCTTATAAGAGCCGAAGGTCTTCTCCACAGATGACCAGAAGGTGGTCTTCTCCGTAGAAGATCAGACGAAGATCTTCTCAATAGACCAGAAGGTGGTCTTCTCCATAGAAGACCAGAGGAGAAGATAGTCTTCCCCATAGTAGACCAGAAGTTGATCTTTCTCAATAGAAGACCAGAAGGTCTCGCCTTCTCCATAGGAGACCAGAAGGTCTCGCCTTCTCGATAGAAGACCAGAAGATCTGGCCTTGTCCATAGAAAACCAGAAGATCAGGCCTTGTCCATAGAAGACCAGAAGGTCTGGCCTTATCCATAGAAGACCAGAAGGTCTCGCCTTGCCCATAGAATACCAGAAGGTCTGGCCTTGTCCATAGAAGACCAGAAGGTCTGGCGTTGTCCATAGAAGACCAGAAGGTCTGGTCTTCTCCATAGAAGACCAGAAGGTCTGGCCTTCTCCATAGAAGACCAGAAGGTCTGGTCTTCTCCTTAGGAGACTCAAATATTTTGATTTCGAAAATTTTAACAGATTTTACTGAATTTAGCCAAAATTAGTTATTTTTTATTTTTTTCTTAATTTAATATTTTTTTTAATTTAATTTTTTTTTAATTTAAATTAATTGTTTTAAGTTTTTCAATTTTTCAAAATTTATTTTAATTTTTTTTTTAATTTAAATTATTTTTTTAATTTAAAAAAAACTTTTTTAATTTTTTTGGAAAACATTTAATAATTTTCTCCCTCTCTCTTTGCAGACTCTATGATTGCATCTCGTCATAATCCAGCACATCGTAACAGCACATCCAGCGAGGCTGCCGGCAGTGATGACTTGAATACCAGTTCCAGCAATGAGGACCTCAGCTCAGCCTATATTGTCCAGAATAAGGCGGCCAATAAGAAATCATCCAAGTCACGTCAAAAACGTCAACAGAAACGCAAACAGAACAACAACCACTCCAATGGCACTGGAGCTTCTGCTTCTTCGAACACCAATGGCTCCCATAAAAATAACTCCAGTGATTTGCTACAGCCCATGGACATTGATGAGGAGTACAAGGAGAATCACAAGCCACTGGGAGCAAAACAATCCCACAACAACAACACGAACTCCACAGCAGCTATTAATCTACGCAAGCAATGCACAAAGGCAGCCGCTCTCAAGGCGGTGTTGAACAACAGTAAATTGGGCAAATTAGGAACGCCGGGCGTGAATGCCCTGACCACATCTCCCTCCAATTCGTCGGTCTGCAGTTCATTGTCATCGGCCTCGTCGACCACCTCGATTTCATCTTCATCGCTGTCCTCATCGGCCTCAAGTTCGCCCGCCCATTCGGCCAATTCATCACCCACTGCCTCGCCCACGGCCAGCAAACGTAATGCGGAACATTTAAAGAAGGTGGCCCAGGCCTTGGCCCCACCACCCCTTAGGCAGTTTGTGAAACTAAATCTCTCCGAGAGTGAGTTGGTGCAACAAATGCGTCGCTATGTTGTGGATCCCAGCCTTTTGCGCGTCTATGGCTTCCCTGTGGAATCAGTGCATCACGAGGGCTGCATAGAAATCTACAAATGTTTGCCCAAGCACCTGGCCGAAGAGGCTGTGACCAAGGATAATCAGAGACATCATCGCCACTATTACGGACGCAAAAAGTCGAGTGTCATCAATTCCTATGACGGCTTGTCGAGTTCACAGCAATGGTCCAACTCCAGCACGGCCATAGATTCGGGCCATGGTTCGGGGGATTCGAGTCCGCGTTTTACAGATTCCGATTCCAGTGAAATGGGTGAAGATGATATGACTTGTGGCCTGGAGACGGAGAATCCCCCCGTCATGGCCTTCTACACACCCGATGGGGTCTATCAGATCTTTTCCGAATACGACAACTCCGTGGAGAAGCAATGTGTGCGCTGTTCGAAAATGTTCGAGGTAAACTCTGAGGGAGAGTATCTGACCTTTGAACCCTGTACCTATCACTGGGGCAAGGCGAATAATGTGTATAACGGTAAATGTTATGTCAACATCTATTCCTGTTGCCAGGGTGAGGAATCGAGCGAAGGCTGCAGCCAACATCCGTTGCATGTTTGGAATGGGGCAGTGGTGGGCATCAATGGACCCTACAGCGATTTTGTCCACACCCGGCCACGCAGCGAAAAACAGAAGAACCGCCACCCCAAAATCTATGCCATCGACTGTGAAATGTCCTACACCGGCCTGGGCCTGGAGGTGACCAAGGTCACTGTGGTCGGCTATGATGGTTCACTGGTCTATGAACACTTCGTCCGGCCCCAAGCCGAGATAATCGATTATAATACCCGATTTTCGGGCATCACCGAAAAAGATCTCTCACCCGACTCGAATAACTCCATCAAGACCTTCGCCCAGGTCCAGCAGGATCTGCTGAAGCTGTTCGATGCCGACACCATACTCATTGGCCATGGGTTGGACAATGATTTGCGTGTCCTGCGCCTGGTGCACAAAACCATTGTCGACACATCGCTGATATTCAGCCATTCGACCGGTTATCCATATCGGCGATCTCTTAAGAATTTAACCAAGTCCTTTCTCAAGCGGGACATTCAGTGCAGCGACAGTGGTCACAGTAGTTTCGAGGATTCGCGGGCCTGCCTAGAGCTAATGTTGTGGAAGGTACGCAAGGATTTGCGTCACTGGAGCTATCAATGAGAGGACGTCGAGGAGGATGAAGGGATGAATGCTAAACGGAGGCAACAGGAGGCCATTCTCAGTACCCCATGGCAATCTGTTGCCACCGGCACGGCAGGGGCAATGTGGTTCGAAGACGGCTGGAGGCCAGCATCATGGCCATCATTGGATTGGGTGTATCCTTCGGCGTCTACAGCCTTGTGCTATTGTGATTGTATGCGTGTATATACGACAAGTACTATTAATTGTAATTGTAATAGTAGTGGTAGTACTAGTATTAGTAATAGCGGTAGTAGTGGTAATCGTAGTCTCTATGCGACGACGACGAGGATGGCGACGACATTGACAAGCGACACCGGTAGTGGTGGCAGGGGGGTCTATGCAACATATCTAACTGTAAATACGACCACGGCCACCACGACGACGACGATGATGATGATGTCGATGTCGATGAGTGAATGTTTTTATTATCGTAGCCTGTAAGGGAGTGAGTGAGTGTGAGTGGGTATGAGTGGGTGATGAATGAGTGTGTATGTGTGAATGCCTATTTTACATTGTGTGTGAATGTATGTCGTGTGATTGATTGTCTTAAATATACTATGTATGTAAACCTTTTTTTATTTTCCTCTGGATTTTTTCCTCCTTCCCCCTCCCCTTTTTGAATGGCAAAATTATTTTTTGTTTTTTTTTTCCTCCGGTCGTTTGTATGCAAAACACACACACAACAAAAACAAAACCCACATATAGTCAACACTATTGTTGTTGAAAATTGACTGAAAATTGTAGTTTTAACCGACATTTTTAGTAGAATTAAGATTAACAAAAAAAAAAACATTTAAACAAAAAATTAAAAAAAAGAAAACAAAAACACCGGCCAGCTATACTGGCCGCCGTTAGCGCATTAGTTTCTAAGTTGTACCTATTTATTAAAGTATTTTTTTCTGTTAAGTTTTTTTATTTCGAATATCATTGATTTTTTTATTTCACACACACACACACTAGCAACAACAAAAAAAAAAACAAAAATCCATCAACAAATCTTTTGTTTGTTAAACCAATTTAATTACATTTACAAAAAAAATGAAAACGATACAAAAATAAAGTTAACAAATTTTTTTAGTTAAAACAAAAAAAAAAAAAAAAAACATAAAATTTGCGTTTTTATTCGAATTTGGGATGAGAAGGGTACGAAAGGTACTATAATATATGAAATGTGGAATGGTGACGAGAAGGGGTGGAATAAAGCTGAGTTTCTAGAGCCTAGAACTATCACAGTACCAGCAAGTAGAAAGGAGCTAAGTTTTATATCCTCCACCATTTGGAAGGAACTTGAAAATTAAAGAAGTTAAAAAAAGTAATTTCGGCCGGGCCGAACTTTGAATACCCTCCACCATTTGGAACGAATTTGGAAATTTTCAAAAAATAAAATCCTTAAAAAATTCTGTTAAAATTTTAAAAATACCGAATATAGCCGTTATATTGGCGTCTATACGACGTGGACCCACACAGTCATTGTTTGTCATAAGTCAAATTCAAATTCGGAACTTGAAATAAACGGTGAATAATGTAGCTAAAATCATCAAAATATCGTATATAGGGAGGTACCGTTATATCAGAGCTGTGCGAAGACCTGCACCTGCATAGACAATTATCTGTCATAGGCTGTAGCATCCATTACGAACTTCAAATACGACGTTTTAAAAAATTTCGGTGAACATTGTACCTAAACTCGTCAAAATACCGAATATAGGGTGGCTCTGGTATATGAGGCCTATTCAAAGACCTGGACCTGCATGGACAATTTTCTGTCACAGACTGTAGTTTTCATTACGAACTCTAAATGCGTAATTTAAAAAGCCGGTGAATAATGACGCCAAAATCATCCAAATACCGAAAATCGGGAGGTACCGTTATATGGGGGTTATACGAAGACGTAGACCTGCACAGACAATTTTCTGTCTTAGGCTGTAGTATCCATTGCGAAATTCAAATACCAAATTTGAAACAATTCCGGTGAATAATGTCGCCAAAATCATCAAAATACTGAATATCTGGAGGTACCGTTATATGGGGGCTATATGAAAACGTGGACCTACATAGACAATTTTTTGTCACAGACTGTAGTTTCCATTACGAACTCTAAATACGTAATTTGAAACAATTCTGGTGAATAATGACGCTAAAATCATCAAAAATACCGAATATTTGGAGGTACCGTTATATGGGGGCTATACCAAGACGTGGACCTGCACAAAATTTTTTCTGTCTTAGGGTGTAGTATCCATTGCGAAATTTAAATGCCAAATTTGAAACAATTCCGGTGAATAATGACGCTAAAATCATCAAAATACCGAATATAGGGAGATACCGTTATATGGGGGCTATACGAAGACGTGGATCTGCACAGACAATTTTCTGTCTTAGGCTGTACTATCCATTTCGAACTTCAAATACCAAATTTGAAACAATTCCGGTGAATAATGTCGCTAAAATCATCAAAATACCGAATATCGGAAGGTACCGTTATATGGGGGCCATATTGAAACGTGGACCTAGCCTTCTATCTCAATTCGTTCTAAAGATAGCGTGATTACAACAGACGGACAGACAGACATATCGACTTAGAATTTTGCGCTGATCAACAATATATATACTTTGTTGGGTCTGACATGACTATTTCGTGAAGTTACAAACGAAATGACAAAGTTAATATACCCTCCATAGTATGGTGGAGGGTATAAAAAAGAAGCTAAGTTTTATACCCTCCACCATTCGGAAGGAACCTGAAAATTTTCAAAAAAAAAAGAAAAAAATCCGTCGAAAAATACCTCTCAAATAAAAACCTTTGTATGGGGTATATATCAAGACGGGGTGCTGGATAAGTAATTTTCTGTCATAGGCTGTGGTAACGATTCCGAACTTCAAATGCGAAATTCGAAACAATACCGGTGAAAAATGTTGCTAATATCATTAAAATACAAAATAAAGGGAGGTACCATAGTATGGGGGCTATACTAAGACGTGGACCTGCATAGACAATTCTCTTCCAGGGGGTAAAGTACTCAGAGAGAACACCTTGTGTGGATTTTAAGCCCATTCCATATAAAAATGTGGTTAAAATCATTAAAATGCCGAATATCGGGAGGTACCGTTATATGAGGGATATACGATATCGTGGACCTATATAGGCAATTCTCTTTCAGGGGATAACGTACTTACAGAGAACTCATTGAGTAGAATTGCAGACAATGCCTATTAAAAATGCGCCTAAATTAATTAAAATACTGAATGTCGGGAGGTACTGGTATATATGGGAGATATACGATATCGTGGACCTATAAAGACAATTCTTTTCAGGGGTCAAAGTTTTCGGAAAGAACTCCTTGTGTAGAGCCAATTAAGCCAATTCCATTGAAAAATTTAACAAAAATCATCAAAATGCCCAATATCGGGGCCACCATTGTATGGGGGTCTATACGATATCGTGGACCTATACAGACAATTCTTTTTCGGGGGATAAAGTACTCACAGAGAACTCCTTGTGTAGAATTTCAGACAATTCCATTAAAAAAAAATCAAAATACCGAATATTGGGAGGTACAGTTCAATATCGTAGACCGATATAGTCCATCATCGAACTTGACCTGTCTGCACACAAAAGACTGAAATTATGAGTGTGGATCACTGTTTGAGTTTATGAATTATAAAAGGCTAGATTCAGGAGAATTCGAGCATATTGATCGAAAAAGTACTAAAATGTAATAAATGTTATGGTACGGGATTTGGCAATAAATATAAGAGTACGAAAAGTGCTAAATGGTACTAAATTCTGAGGGATGGTAGTTAGCTAAGTAGAGTTAAAAGTCTAAAATTTGTCATAGAGGACGCTATTGATGTGAAGAGGTGAGATAAGGACAGGTGTGCAAATTCGAACTAAAGTGTATGAAAAGTACCAAAATGTATTCAATACGTTGGATTTTTTTAAGCAAGTGGGTCAATGTAAAATTCTAAAATTTTGAGTATGTCATACCGGTGGTGTGTAGGAAAGAAGCAATTCTGCATTTTTGGGACATAGCAACTTTAAGGTTACGAAAAGTACTAAAATGTACTAAATGCCGCAAAATGATTTTGGGAGAATTAAAATTTTGATATTTTGTAGAAAGATAGTGGCAGATTCTTTAAAAATGCATCCTCAAAGAGTACGAAAGGTACTAAATTATATAGTAAATTCTGGAATTCGGAAATTTTGAGTGTGGATTACTGTTTGAGTTTCGGAGTGAGAAAAGGCGGGATTAAAACAAGTACGAAAAGTCCTAATATGTACCAATTGTTATGCCATGGTATTTTCAAATGTATAGATTTTGATATTTGGAATGTGGCGCACCAGCAGTATGTAATGGGTGAGGTTAAGATGAATTTTTGTGAAATTCCAACCACAAGAGTATGAAAATTACTAAATTGTACTAAATTCTGAAGGATGGGAAATTCGAACCATAAAGTTAAATATGCAACTTCGGAAAATCGTACTCGTAGTTTTGAGCAATTGTCCAGCTTTACATTTTTTACATCCCTTTTGTCTATGATAAGCATATCGGGTAACAAAAGGTAAACCCTATAATTTTGTGCAAAATTGGTAAAAACAGTACTAAAAGTTACAAGATATTTGTTTAATGACCTTTGGCGAAAAACCACAGCCGGAAATACGTACATTTCGAATTTTTAATATTAAGGTAGGTTAAGCGTGGATTATTATTAAAAAATATTTTTGGCAACTTGTAGTTCAAATGTACAATATTTGGTACCATTTTAATAATTTGAAATGACGACAATTTTAATTAATCATTCGATACGGCCAAAACATGTCTCATCGAAATAAGGGTTTTAGATCATATGTCTTTTTGGAGTGAATCCGTAATATTATTATCAAACTTTGGTCGAATTCGGAGAGAAAGGATCATCCAATTTTGTGCAAATCTTAATATTTGTATCAGTGCTAGGTCAGGTGCGAAAGTAGACATCCATAAATTTCCTCCCACGCAATGGGTCAATATTTTGATAACCCATAAAAAAATAATTTTATTATTTTCTTCAAATTTCGCATATCTTATTTTTTACCAACGCAAGATGTACTATGAACATAAGATATATCGGTCTACTCCCTCTGGTATCTTCCTCACAACAGGTCAAATTTTGAATAACCATGAATCTCATAAAACGTAAAATGAGCTAACGATTACTTTCAAAATCACATCTATCAGGTGTGAAGATGGGATACATGATGTGAACATTTTGAATAACCCAAATGCTCATAAAATGCGAAATAAGTATACGATTCTTTTCAAACTTCTACAAATCTAAAATCTGCAAGGAAGATGGGATGTTGTACCCAAGTACCTCCACTACAAAGGGTCAAAATTTCGAGTACTCTAACCCTCTAACATGCGAAACAAGTCAGTAATTCTCTTTAAACTATGTATGTCTTAATGTTTAACTAAACCCAACATCTGAGGTGAATATGGCATTTTTAGACACACTACGCCTGAAAACTCCTCCTTATGGGTTTAAAGTTGATTCTGGTTACAAGTTTCAGAAGATTGAAAATAATTATTCAATGTTACTTCTTACTGCGCAAATGCAATATTTTCACCAATATTAGATCTATGGTGAATTGGAACTCGTCGGCCCATTCTTTCTGGTATCTCCCTCAAAAAGGATCAATTTTTTTTTTTAATATGAAATTTTTCAAAAAAAAAAAATCCGAAAAATACCACTTAATTGAAACCCCTTTATATGGGAACTACACGAAGACGTGGACCTATATACGAAATTGTTTGTATTAGGCTGTAATACCCATTAACATCTTCCAATACGAAATTTGAAACAATTTCAGTGAATTATGTCGCTAAAACCTTTAGAATACCTAATATTGGGAGGTACCGTTATATGGAGGCTATACGAAGACGTGGGCCTGCATACGCAATTATTTTTCATAGTTTAAAGTACCCAATACAAATTCTTAATACGAA